ATTTAACTTGGCATCATTCTCCTTCACACTAACCCTCATTTTCTCCCACACATGTCAGGAATTGTGTTCACACATAAGTAATTGTAGTGATATCAGTGCTTAGAATAACCCGGTATGAAACTGTTTAACGTAAAGGGTTATCTCTGTGCATCAGTTACCTCAGTTCGTAAGTTTGTCTTGGTGTGTTTGTGTTCCCTCTTTAGTGAGTGCATACAGGTGTTTGAGTATATGTACCGAGGGAGGGTATATCTTCTCAGGTAAAAAAAAAGTGTACACATCTGTGAAGGAACTTCGTCTGATTTTCAGTGATTCTCAAAATGAACTGTTAAGTGTATAAGAACAAGAGATAGTCACAAAAGACTACTATATATTGTATGATTTCATTTATATGAAATGTCCAGAATAGGCAAATTAAAACCATAATGAGGTACATTTTCCATCTTCTAGTGTGGCTAAAATAAAAAAAGGCTGACAACACTAAAAATTGGTGACATTAAAAATGTGGAGAGAAAACAACAGCCCTGCTCAATGGATTGGAGTGTCGCCTCGTACACGAATAGGTTTCGGGTTTAATTCCCAGTCAGGGCACATGCCTAGGCTGGGATTCGATCCCAGGTCAGGGTGAGTATGGTTGACAACCAATTGATGTTCCTCTGTCACACTGATGTGATAAACACACACACACACACACACACACACACACACCAAAAAAAAACAACACACCACAGATAAATCTCAAAAACAATGTTACATGAAAGAAGCCAGACACAAGAAAGCACAAACTACTGTACGATTCCATTTTTGTGAAGTCTATGACTAGGCAAAAATAAATCTATTGCGTTAGAAATGTGGAATCAAAGTGGTTGTCTTTGGAGAAGGGTGGGTGAAGGAAATGGCTGGAAAGGGACATGAGGGAACTTTCCACGGTGATAGAAATGTTTTCTAATTTGTCTTGGTAGAAGTTACATTGTATAAAATTATCAGAACTCCTTGAACTGGACACTCAAGATATGCTCACATTGCCTGCCTGGTGTGGCTCAGTGATTGAGCATCGACCTATCACAGTTCATTCCGAGTCAAGACAAAAGCCCGTGTGCCCAGGCAGTCAGCCAATGATTATCTCTCATCATTGATGTTTCTATCTCGCCCTCACTTCCTTCCTCTCTTAAATCAATAAAAATATATTAGAACAAAGATATGTACATCTTACTGAATGTTAATTATACCTCATAAAACATACAAAATAGGAATCTGCTTCAAGACATAGGTTAAGGATGTTTCAAATGAAATCGACCTTACTACACATACATTTTCAATTTTGCGCCACTCTGGATTATTCACATCTCTATTTGTTCATTATTATAAACAATCCAATAGATTACAGACACGTATGGGTAGACAGATATAAGTATATGTGTTCATGTTAATTTTTCATAAGCAGTAAATCAAGTTTGATTTTTTAGGATTTCAATATGTGTACTAAATGGACTGTTACAAGTCGAGTAGAATTTTTTGTTTTCCTAGATCTTTTTCCTTTCACTACAATGCTATAGTTGTGATTTTAGAGGCTTGAGAGAAAATTGAATGAGAATAAGGCATCTATATCAAATGTCAGCAAGAAAGGTTGATGACAGAAAACCAATAGTGCTTTAGCCACTAGAACAGTCTAGAGCCGTGGTCGACAAACAGGCTCATGGCTCTCTGGCCCCTTGAGTGTGGCTCTTCCACAAAATACCACGGCCTGGACAAGTCTATTTTGAAGAAGTGGCATTAGAAGAAGGTTAAGTTAAAAAAATTAGGCTCTCAAAAGGAATTTCAATCGTTGTACTGTTATTTGGCTCTATTGACTAATGAGTTTGCTGACCACTGGCCTGGAGAATAATGCCCTCTTCAATTATTTTAATTAACAGCCTATAATTTTTAAATTTAAGGGGAACTGAAAAGAATGAAGACTGCCAGCTAACTAGATCTTTAAAAATTGATAATACAGCCTAAATAGCAAGAGCAGTGTACATCGGACTGACTCCTGAAAACCTACTGAGATCTTTCCTCCTATTTTACTGGGTCCTCCTCTGTCTTCCTTTCTTTTCATCTTTTCCCTCCCTCTATCCAGGGATATTTTTATCCCCACCACCTCTCACTCTTCCTATTTTACTCAGATCTAATCAACTGTCGTATATACCAAGCTTACCTCAGGTTCCAAGTAAATAAATTTACAAAATTATACTGTGTTCTATTGTAGATATGGAATATAAACTCACACAGTATACAGGGTATAGCCTGGGAAGGCAGAGATGACCCATGAGTGGAAAAAAGATGACTTCATTTGTTTCCCAGCCCCACAATTGTAAAAGATTTCTCCCTCTGAACTCCTACCGCATGTTTTTATTCCCCACAGATGGCTCTTACAGCGCTCTGAACTATGAACAAGCACACATGCCTCTTCTCAAAGAGAGTAGTTCCCAGACAAAAAAACACACACAAAAACCCGTGTCTTAATGTCTGTATATGCCATGAGCCTAAGACAGTGCTTTGTACAAGATGGGGAAAGACATAAGTTGAACCAGTGAATGACTGAATTAATGTGAATGAAAACAGTTGAAGGAGGAAGAGGATGAGAGAGGAGAAAACACTGAGGATTCTGCACAGAAAAAGGAGAAGGGAAGGAGAGAGAGTAGAAACTAAACGTTTTTTTTTTTTTTAAGTGAATAGGATTATTTTAAAAAACTGAGAGTTGGAAAAAGCAATTACTTTGCATCTAATATCACAGCTATCAGCTCCTATCTTTACTTAAAAAAAATGTTCTTATTGATTTTTAGAGTGAGAAGGGAGAAGTGAGGGATAGAGAGGGAGAAACATCAATGGGAAAGTAACTTCATCAATGGGTCCCTACTGCACGCCCCCTACTGGGAATGGAGTCGACAACCCCAGCATGTAACCTGAGGGGATCCAATCAGCAACTTCTTCGTTCTTGGGTGAACTATCAAACGCTGAGCACGGTCTTTAAACTGTCACTATGAACACCTTAAAACATCTCCCAACCTTTGATGTTCAGTGTGGTCTGACATGCAAGTTCTTCAAACCTACAAGATCCTGGATGATTTATGCATGTTAATGTTTGAGAAGCACCATCCTACACCGTGCAAGTCCTTTATGTTGTAGGGAACCTGTATTTTGAGACTAGAAAAGTCTGATTAGAGTTTTACCAGAGTAAAACTCCAATCACTGTAATGGAGTTTGACTTTATGTCTTAACTTTAGGTGAAGCTAATTACAGAATTATAGTGCCTGAAGGGTTTATGATAAAATTTTGGAATTAGTCATAAAAATATGATTAAAGGAAATTGAGCAGGTTAAGTAACAGCCTCCAGAACTCATTTTTTGTGCATTCATGCCTAGCACACAGTTTGGAATGACACCTGTGGCCCATGTTTCCTCAATAAATAAAATCATGAATTTTTTAAAATCAGACATGTTTAGGGCTGGAATCATCTTAGGGTCATCTGGTCCAACAACCTCATTTTAAAGATGAGCAAGCTGGAAGTCCTGAGAGGTTCGAAAGTAAAAGTAAGCAAGCTGAGCTCTGGCCCGTTTGGCTAAGTGGATAGAGCGTCAACCTGTAGACTAAAGGGTCCCGGGTTTGATTCCGGTCAAAGGCACATGCCTGGGTCGCAGGCTCGACCCCCACTAGGGGGCGTGCAGGAGGCTGCTGATCCATGATTATCTCTCATCAATGATGTTTCTTCCTCTCCCTTCCTCTCTGAAATCAATAAAAAAAAAAAAAAAAGTAAGCAAGCTGAGAATTAGAACATACTGGATCTGACATTTTCATTCCCTTTTTTTCCCCCTTTCATAGGAATGTGTTAGAAAGGAGATTCTAAGTATTTATAATAAAATTAGGGGCTCTTAAAGAAGTGACAGGGTAAAAAAGGTGCCTAGGACTAGGAAAAAGAGACTAGCACAAGTAAATCAGGCTGGACAAAACTATTTTTCTGAGCTTATTACTTTTTGACCGACCAATTAATTAATCAATTTCATTTGCAAAAAAAAAAAATCATCTAAAGGATTCTCAGAAAAAGAAACATGAGCTGCATGAACATGTTACAAGCCGAGAGAGACGGCACATAACTAATTTAAATCTCACGGGCTTATTTCCTGTTCAAGCATGACCTCCTGCGATAAGCTTTACTGCAGTGTTCATTACCAGATAACTTTTGGTTTTAAGAGAAGCCAAGGGCGAGTTGGAAAAGCGATTCTTAACTAAACAAAACAAAACAAAACAAAGCAAACAAAAAGCAAAAACCTGCGATTGTTTCTCGTTTGTTTGTAATCAGAACGCAGGCCTGCGGAGGAAACAGACCCACCTCCGTAGGCAAAAGCACAACGTCCTCCAAAGAAACCGACACATAAGCGCCTTCCCAGCCGGATCCAGCTGTGGGTGCCACAGGGGAGCCAGGAACTTACTCTAAGACAAGAGCAAGAGATCAAACCGGCGAGTGCGAGACAAGCCAGATTTTAATTTTTAAAAAGGGTGTGCCCTAAGGTGATTTCCTCGCCCCCGCCCCCAACTTTCAACAAGCAGAAGCCTTTGAAGGAGTCCCGGAGAGAAACCCTTTTAAGATGATCGTCCCCGAGCTCCGCCAGGGTGGGGCGGAGGAGGCAGGCGGCCGGGCGGGCGCCGCGGGCAGCGGCAGGAGGGGAGGGGAGGGGAGGGAGCCGGTCCCGAACCCGGGGAGGCCGTGCCCCCCAAGTGATTCATCAGCTCAAGGTTCGCGCGCCTCCATCGCAGGCGCCACCCAGCGCGCCCCAGGGCCCCCACCCGGGCCCGGTCACCCCAAAGCAGCCCTCAGCGCCCCCTGCTCCCGGAGAGGGGACCCTGGGGAAGAAGACCCGGGCCGGCGGCTGGAGGAGCAGCAGCCTCTCCCTCCCTCCTCAGCCACCATGGCCGGTGCGACTCCCTGCCCGCGCCCGCGGACGGACTTCCTGGAAAGCTGGACTCACCTGACTGGCGCCTGCGGGGGCCACCGACTCCTTCACAGACACGCGAGGACTGCCGCAGCCCGGTCCCCAGCACCCGCCCGCCCGCCTGCCTGTGTCTGCCTCCCAGGGAGTTGCCGGATCCGCCCGCCGGGAGCGCCCCCACCTCGACCGCGCTGTCTGTGAGGCTGGTTCCCCCTCCGTCACCCAGGCGCCTGCGCACTCTCAGGTCGCAGGGCACCTTGGGAGTTGTAGTTCTAGCGTACGGGGAGCAGCGCAGAACCCGGGCTTGACAATCATCTGCAAGACATGGGAAGCAGCTGCACATGCCAAGCCTACCTCCAGCTTGGAACGACGCTCTCTACTCGTGGAAATATTTAACCTCCACGCTCTGGAGCTATGAGCAGCAGCGAGAGGCTCATTGGTATAGATTTCCTCTTTACTTTGACTTTTATTAAAGAGCACGCCTGGCACGGCTTGTATTGTGTGTACCCTTGGAGTAGTTGATGCGGGACAGGGGCATCGAGTCCTTTGAACTTGTTATGATAAGTTGATAGGTAAGCAAACAAAAGCTGCGGCACAAGAGGGTTATAAATCAAGAGGATGTCATCCCAAGGGCGTAGTGACCCTAGTGATTTCTTTAGGCCTGCAATCAGGGATGATGTCACAGAGATAGCAGTTTCGGGGCCCCATTCCTTCCTCCCATGTCTGCTTCCAGCTCTACACTGAGAGGTGGAGCTGGGCTTACGTGGGAGAGCGCTGATCAAAGGAGGGGACTGGGACAGATGGGTAGTCTGGGGGGCAGAACGAAGAGAGTGGGAATATTTCAGAGGACAGTGGATGGCTGTCTTTTGTGCATGGCTCTGAGGAGAGGGAACAGGGTTGGCTTTCCATTTATTCATCTAGTCAGTGTTGGGAGTTATTTCTGGCCTGCCCTTCAGGAGTAAACCATTCCTAGGAGTAATGCTCAGCTTTGATACACATCTTTCAAAAATGTAGCCATGAAGAGGACTGAAATGCCTCGGTGAGGTACATTCCAGCTACACCCAGTGCAGGAACCGATTAGTGGCTAAACCTCTTCTGGCATCTACTTCTTCCACTCAGAGCAGGGAGTAGCCTAGGTAAACTCCCTGGAATTTCATGCAACTGGTACCCACTAATCCCAGCAATAAAGATAACTGATGATTTGGCATTTTTAAGAAAAACCCCCTCCAAAATTGCAAATACTCTTAGAAGGCCATCAAAAATAAATTGTGTGGCTATTGCATCTTACTATCTAGTGCATCTTAGTGTGAATCACTCTCAAATATTCTTGGAGATGAGTTTCTGAGAGTAACTTCCTACAGAGTTCAGGTTCAACAAATATTTATTGAGTACTTAAACCACATCAGGCAGTAGGCCAGCACTTCACTTATAATATTTATCTAAATCCTCCAAATAATCCTTAAAAAAGTGTTAGTATCTTCTTTCCACATCTAAAGACGAGAAAACAATTTAAGTAATTTGCCAGACAATTTAAGTAATTTGCACAAGGTCACACGGTCAGTAATTGGAGATCTAGAAATAAAGCACAGGTATTCTGACTCACATACTAGCATGCTTTCCACTGTTAATTAGACCCACAGGTCTCCTAAGCCTCATCAAATTCTTTTTTTTTAATCAATCTTTATTGTTCATATTATTACAAAGGTTCCTCATTTCTTTTTTAAATATATTTTATTGATTTTTGTACAGAGAGGAAGGGAGAGAGTTAGAGAGTTAGAAACATTGATGAGAGAGAGTCATCGATCAGCTGCCTCTTGCACACCCCCTTCTGGGGATATGCCCGCAACCAAGGTACATGCCCTTGACCGGAATCGAACCCGGGTCCCTTCAGTCCCCAAGCCGATGCTCTATCCACTGAGCCAAACCGGTTTCGGCCAAAGGTTCCTCATTTCTTCCCCCCTCCACCAGGTTCCCACCCCACCATCTGCCCCCTTCCCATCCCCCATTGTCCTCATCCATAGGTGCACAGTTTATGTTCAGTCTCTTCCTCCCTCCCTTTCCCCGATAGTAAATCCCTTTTCAGATAGTAAATCAGTTACTTAGCATTTTCTCATATCAATAATACCTCCACATGCCCAAAGATACACTTCACACAAAGACATTTCCAAATAGGTCAACCAACCTCATCCAGGCCCCACAAGGCACTCACAGATCAACACCCCAGTGCTATACTAACTCAACACATCCAGATCTAAGCCTTCATCACTTGATTCAGCAGACCCTCAAGTTCCCGCAGAAGTTTCCAGCCATGTCTGAGAGGCAGCCTTGGGGCGGGGGCAGGCGAGGAGCGAGCTGTTCTGGGCCTGTCTGCTCCGGGCCTGGCCTCTGTTGCTCTGGTCTGTTCCACAACCAGCCGCTCCCGACCTGGCCGCTCCCAGCCTGGCATCTGCTGCTCCAGGCCTGGCCGCACCCGACCCGGCAGCTCCAGGCCTGGCCACTCCCAGCCTGGCAGCTGCTGCTCCGAGCCTGGCCGCACCCTACCCGGCTGCTCCGGGCCTGGCTTCTCCCAGCCTGGCAGCTGCTGCTCCGTGCCTGGCCACTCCAAGCCTGGCAGCTGCTGCTCCAGGCCTGGCCGCACCCGACCCGGCTGCTCCGGGCCTGGCCACTCCCAGCCTGGCAGCTGCTGCTCCGGGCTTGGCCGCACCTGACCCGGCTGCTCCAGGCCTGGCCGCTCCCTGCCTGGCAGCTGCTGCTCTGGGCTTGGCCGCTCCCAGCCTGGCAGCTGCTACTCCGGGCCTGGCCGCACCAGACCTGGCTGCTCCAGGCCTAGCCGCTCCCAGCCTGGCAGCCGCTGCTCCGGGCCTGGCCGCACCCAACCCGGCTGCTCTGGGCCCGGCTGCTCCGGGCCCGGCCGCTCCGGGCCCGGCCGCTCCGGGCCTGGCCGCTCCCAGCCTGGCAGCTGCTGCTCCGGGCCTGGCTGCACCTGACCCTGCTGCTCTGGGCCCAGCTTCTTCGGGCCCGGCCACTTCGGGTCTGGGTGTTCCTGGACTGGCCACCCTGGGCTTGGCCGCCTCTGCCTCAGGCCTGGCTGCCACTGCCCCAGGTCTGGCTGCTCCAGGCCTGGCTGTTGCTGCTCTGGTTCTGGCTGTTGCTGCTCTGGTTCTGGCTGCTGCTGCTCTGGGTCCTGGCTGTTGCTGCTCCAGGCCCGGCTGCCACTGCCTTGTGCCTGGCCACTCTAGGCCTGGCCGCTGCCGTTTGAATATTCTGTCCTTTTTTTTTTTTTTTTTTTTTTTTTAATTTTAAAAACGCATTTATGTTGCAATGTTGGCTGCTGAGTTGAGTTCTGACTTAGTCTTTGATTTTTCAAGATCTTTGTGTTCTTTCTTAAGTAATTTTACTATCTTTTGCTCTCCCTTGATTTCTTCACATTGAGAACGTCTTCGGTTTCTTCCTCCTTGTCCTGGGAGCTCAGCAGATTGGCCTGTGGCACCCCTTTGTTCTCCGCAGGCTCCTGCACTGCTTCAGCCTGTTGCCGGGGTCGGCACCGCCGCCCAGGAAGCAGCCCCCGGCCTTGGCTCCATTGCCCGCGCTCAGTGGTCGAAGGCTCGGGGGCACAGCCCCCCTGGGTGCCCCATCGCCCGGTTCCTTGCTGGCGCCTGGCTGGCCGGTGTCCGGCAGGGGCTCCTGCTCCTTGTTGCGTTCCTCCAGTCTGGAGCTTTTTTTCTCCTTCCTGCTAGGGGAGTCCAGCATCAGAGTCAACAGACTGTCCTCTGCACGCAATGTGCGGGACTCCGGGGGCTCCGCTTTTCGCCGCTCTCCCCGGACTCCACCTCACAGCCCCGTCTCCCTCTGCTTGAGCCTGGGTCCCCAGGGATTGCTCATCAAATTCTTTAATGTAAAATAACCTGTGATCATGTCCAAATTACATGGAAAAAATTTCTCTACCACAGTCCAGGGAAATGCTACTCTGGATGGAATTATATCGGGTTCATTTGATAGCTCTGTTTTTCATTAGAAGTTAATATATAGGTATTTTTACTTACCAGTAAGTTTCCCATGAATTCCTGCTACACCATCAGATATGATTTATTTTAAGAAAGACTTTCCTCTGCAATATGGCTCATTTTGCTATGCTTTTTAGGCAGAAATGACTTTTTTATTCATTGTCTGATTGAATTAATATACATAGTTCCTTCCTGACCTTCCAATATGGGGCTTAGGCACATATTAAATATATAGTTTCCTTTAGTTACTTATATTTAGTTTTTCCTAATGAATATTTGAATTTTATTTTAGTTCCTTTTTCTAAAATAATGTTTTCCGGCGCTTGATTTTTCTCCTTCCATCAGATAAATGTTATCATATTGTAATCACAAGGCTGACAAACATGATTCTCCTAAACCCATGTATATTCAATACCACATATGGGACCAGCGATGTTAAGAATAATGACCTATATTGCCCTAGCGACCTAGCTTGTTTGGTTCAGTGGATACAGTGTATGCCTGCAGACTAAAGGGTCCTGGATTCAATTCCAGTCAAGGACACGAACCTATGTTGCTGGCTCCTCCCTGGCCCAAGCCTTTGTCAGGGCTCATGCAGGAGTCAACCCATCAATGTGTCTCTCTCACATCGATGTTTCTGTCTTTCCCTCTCTCTTCCACTCTCTCTAAAAATCAATGGAAAAATATCCTCAGAGGAGGATTAACAAAAACAAAACAAAACAAAACAAAACAAAAAGAATAACGAACGATAAGGTTGCATTTTGGTTCCCAATCAGGGCACATGTGGGGGTTGCGGGCTCCATCCCCAGTAGAGGGCAGCTGATAAATGATTCTCTCTCATCATTGATGTTTCTTTCTCTCTCTCCTTTTCCCTCTCCCTCTCTGAAATCAATAAAAATATATTTTAAAAAGAGAGAGTGAGAGGAAGAGAAACATCAATGAGACAGAGAAAAATCAATTGGCTGTCTGTTGCACACCCACTACTAGGGATTGAACCTGCAACCCTGGCATGTGCCCTGACTGGGAATCAAACTGCCACCTCCAGGTTCATAGGTTGACAGCTCAACTACTGAGCCACACCAGCCAGGACTAGAATGGTCTTTTTATTTTTTAATTTTTTAAATCTTTTTTTAAATTAAATTATTATTTGTGTACATATCTCACCATTGTCCCCCCCCACCCCCACCTCCCATACATGCTCTCCCTCCCAAGAGTTTTGTGTCCATTGGTTGTACTTATATGCATAGAATGGTCTTTTTAAAACAAATCAGATCATGTCACCCTCCTGCTCCAATCCACTCATGGCTTCCCATTATAATTTGAATAAAATCCTTGCATG